TAAGGAAATGGGGTTTTAAGCGATTATCATGGTCCTCCCATTTCCTGGGAAAATCGGGTTTTAAGCTATCCTCGGATACCCCCTTTTTCTATCAACCAGGTTGTGTTTCTAAGGAGATGTAAATCTCTCCTAAGAGTCTAACGAGAGTACCTGCTGGTTGTTCGAATTGTAATAAATTGCCAAATTATTACTAACGTAATACTTGATTGTGATTACCTCAGCTGTTGCATACCAAGAGAAAAAATTCCAGGAGAAGTTGCAGAAGATGCACGAGTTATGCCCTGAAGGGGCATAGTGGCTGGATGAACACGACCTATCCATGTGGACATTTCATAAAGACGGAGGTACAAGATGGGGTATGGCCACAATGAACATATCAGAGAGTATCAATTCTGCCTACAAGGGTTTTCGGGCACTGCCAATCTCTGCCATTGTGAAGATGACTTTCGGGAAAACGAATGGATGGTTCGTCAATCGACTACACTGGGCAAGGACGAACGAGGCATAGGGAAAGGTCCATGCCAATAAATTCACAGAAATACTGGAGCATGACAATCGGAAGAGTAGTTGACACAGTGTACACGTTATGAATCGGGCAACTATCGAGTTTAGGGTGACGACCGAACACCGTGAGGGTGGTAGACGCGGGGGCCATCACCATGAAGTTTTGGTAAATTTCAGGACAAAACTTGGTGAGTGCTCATGCCAGAAGTATCAGGGGAGAGGGTGGCCATGTTCTCATGCAATGGCTGTAATTAAAAACAAGAGCAAAGACCCCCATCACTTCGTCAGTCCATTCTTCAATATCGACTCACTCAAAAATTTCTATGGAAGGACTTTTCGTGCATTGCCTGATGAAGCTTATTTGCCGGTGTACTCAGGAAAGTTGATAATCCCGCCGTTCGGACAGAGGCGTGAACCGGGTCGACCGAGGAAAAAGAGAATTCAGAACGAAATGGATCAAAGTGGAAGACCACCACGAGGCCCAAGACGATGTTCAGTAAGCAGAGTTCCAGGGCATGATAAACGAAGTTGTCCAGGTCCGATTGGTCCGCAAAATCCGGGTCCTGATGTGGGGGACTCAGATAATGCGACATAGTTTGCGGTTTTCATTTGTTGGTACTTGTTATGTATGTTTTCAATTATTGTCGGATTTAGAGCTATGATGCTTGGAACTTTCGTGTTTGTCAAATAACCCTCAATTAACACTCAAGCCTTAAGTTAACACGATCAAAATAGAGAAAGCCAAGTACTTAGAACTAAAATAAACACTAAAGCAACACTTGATGTGACCTCAACCGCCACCGTGTGCCACAACCAAGGGGGTCGATACTCTCCACGCCTCCAACGGACTTATCTCAGGCACATGAGGTCTTTCCCGAACCTTCTTGCTTTTATTTATCTTGTATGGTGGTGGGGGGTGGGGGACATCAACTTGTACCGAAGGTGGCATCAGTGAGGGCATGGGTGGGTATCTACGATGATCAAGACCCTGTGCTCTGATATAGCCAAGCAGCCGTTTGTCATCCTCTTGATAAAGCTCACATCTTCATGTCCCATTTCATGTTTCCCATGGGTCAACTCTTTGATCCGCTCGATCCCATCAACCTAAATCACATAAAAAGGTTATCAAGATAAGACTAATGATGTGACAGAAGGAAACAAACAATAAATTTAATCTTATTAGACGGAATATACTTACCAATGCACCATCGGGCGCACCCTCCGGAGTCACGTACCGAACCGATGTTTGCCGATATCTATCCATGTATGGGTCATGATACCCTATTCGACCCACACTTGTTGGAGTGACAATATCCTGAAGTTGTCGGTTCTCCCATACCGCGATCATTTCCGCCAACTTCGTGGGCTAATCGTGAGTACCTTGCCGACCATCTCGGTGGTGAAACGTCCTTTGACTCTCGGGGACCTCCAACGGAATGCACTGGTCCCGACCAAATTGACGAAGCATCGATTCGGCATGTGCCACTCCATGGTCCCTAAACAAATGAGAGGGACCCTCGTGCACCATTGCCTGATATTCTCGGGGAATTGCTATAAATGCCAATGAACGATGTTTGCCGGGTATGGATCGAATTTGATCTACAAAAAAAAAAAGTAACTTAAGTTAAATCTGATTGGAAAAATACATGTACTTCATGAAAAAAAGTTATAGCACTTAGAAGTATTCTAGTTACCTCTCCTTCCCAAAGTCGCTCTAGCCTCCTCCGATACTCTACCAACTTGTGTTGGGCAAGGTTCTCGCATGTTGAGATTCCAACCCACCTTATTAATAAGACAATAATAAAAATACAATAAGCTAAAATAAGCTAAAACATAAGGAAAATTGTGTTATTAAAATCTTGATGGGGTATGAGAAATTTACCTACAATTATAAGCTTCGAGTCTTAGGGGATGATCAGGACCCCAATTCCTGTCGGGACATTGGAGCGGTGCAATCCATGACAGATGTTCCCAAGCCCAAAATTGGACGATAAACATTGCGTCGCCGACCTCGCTTACAGCCTTGAGAGATGCATTGCACAAATGGTGGTAGATATTAGCTAGGCAAGTTGAAGTCCAGCTCAACTCCCCCATCGCATCCCAACTACCAAGGAGGATCCTAAGCCATCCACAGCTAATTAAATTGCTCGATTTTTTGGAGAAAAATACTCCTCCTATCATGCCTATGAGATAGACACGAGCATATCTTTCCTTCTCTAGCTCCGGACTTTCCTCGGTTAGGGGCACCCCATTTTTTCAGGATCGTGAAGGTCCCTAAAATACTTAGTCAACCAAGTAATTGATACTTGGCCTTTCCTCAATGGTGGCAAGCGATCCGTCGCATCAACGCTCCCCTTGGTTGGTACTTTCACCCCCAAAACACTGTGGTTGAAACACTGCCAACCGGTCATACTGTCACGATCCTCGGGGGGATGATCACTAACACACACCGCTTTGCCGTCAATGGGCAGATGAGTTAGGATGGCGACGTCCTTGAGTGTGATGGTGCACTCTCCTTCGCGAAGTTGAAACAATGTGTCTCCTTTCTCCATCTCTCCACTTTTATGCTTACATTGGTCATACCCCTGTAGCGGAGTATTTGTTGTGCCTCCTAACAAAAATTTCAACGTTATTTATGATATATTAGTAACAGTTTAGTCTTATAACTAACCTAATTAAAATTAATGATTTAATTTCGACCATTTTTAAAATTATTTATGATATATTAGTAACAGTTTAGTCTTATAACTAAATTAATTAAAATTAATGATTTAATTTCGACCATAATTCTATTATAATTATATTATTAACAATCAAATTTAAGTAATTTGCGGGTTTTTTCCAAGATATATACATATTATCATAAAACAAACATACTAAATTAATTGACATAAATAACATTCTAAATGAATAAATATTTAAAGAGATACATACATATTCAAACATTTGAAATTAATAAAATTCATTTAAGTACACATAAACATAAATCGTATTGGTTGTTTTAAATAATTTAATCGAATACAATGCAACACTCGTTAGACTCTTAAAAGAGGTATACATCTTCTTAGAAATGCAGCCTTTTTGACAGAAAGAGGGGGGATCCGAGGATCTCTTAATACCCGATTTTCCCAGGAAATGGGAGGATCATGATAATCGCTTAAAACACCATTTCCTTAGACGTGCATCCCTTTATAAAGACTCGAAGTAAGTGGCGCTATGTATTCGATTAAATTATTGAAAACAACCAGTACGATTAAATTATTTCAAATGTATTTTATATTCCACTAACTACATTAGCAAAATAAAAGAAAGATAAATGATGAAAAATTGTATTTACCGGGTGATCGTTCCAAACATCCCTTGAACGATGGTTGGGTTGGTCGTACAAGTTGGTTGGATCAATAGGCCCTTGATCTAAATAGTACCGTTGATTGTATTTATTCACGTCGTCCCAACCTACGAGAGAATAACAACAAGGTTAGTACATAGATTAATTAGAAAGCTTATAACAAAAACAAAAATTGACCAAAATAATGAGTACGTACCGCTTGAAATTCATCATAATAAACTCCCTCTCCTTGGAACCACTCGTCCATTTTTTCGCGAAAGTCGGACAGAAATTCGGCGGGTTTTGAGTGAAGAACCAAAGAAATGTTTTCTGATGGCAGATTGAACTTAGCCGCAACCAACAAACAACTATTTCCTAGGCTTTTGGGAAGGGAGGGGAGGGGTTAGAGAGATAATTAAAGAGAGAGAGTGAAGAATGGGTTGTGGTGTGAAGGAATGAGAGGGGGGAGGGGGTATTTATAGTATTTATAGTATTCAGACTGCATCCTTCAGGGGCGGTCTGGTGATTTCTCCCACTTGAAACCGCTCCCTTCCGATGTGGTCTGCTCTTCCCGAGGCGCTGACCGCTCCCTGCAGTTGCGGTCTGCGATCCATGACGCGGATCGTTGAGGTGGCAAGCGGTCCGCCGCTGGATCGCCGCTGAATCCAGCGGTCTCCAAGCACGCTCCCGAGGAAACAGAGACCGCAACTTGGAGGTTCGGTTCGCAGTCTGACGTGGCGCAAAACGCACCTCCAAGGTGCGGTTTATACATAAAACGCACCTTGGAGGTGTAGTTTGATAAAAATGGTGCTAGTTTTGTAATTTCTATGGAATGGGTGCTATTTTTGTAATTTTTTTAATAGGTGCTTTTATTGGAAAAATCCCATCCTTTTTTCTCCTTTTTTTTTTTATTTCAAAGTGTTAATTAAACAAAAATTTATTAGATGAAAATGTTGACCAAATCCTGATTCGCCATGTAAGCAGGCTGGACCCATTGGCTGCAACCTACGTTGGAGCTAAAATTTGCTCGGATTTGTGGGTTGTCAGTTTGCAAACCCTACAAGTGGTTTGCACGACAATTCATTTCATGGTTATTAAAAGGATAAAAGGCACAAACATCCTGTACTGTAGTCTCATATACAATTTACTGTGCACCAACATACGATTTCCTATTCATTTAGACCTAATTTTCCTATTCACCTGACACTATACATTGTTCCTTCCTTTCTGGCGAGGGGTTCGTAGAGAGAAATCGTTGGGAGGCTCTTTCGATCAGTTCCTCTTTTTACTGGCGATGGGACAATTTGTTGCCTACTCTGTGTTTTTGGTTAGCTTTGGGTGGTCCTTGAGCTTGCACGTTGGTCACCAATTCTTTTGCCTGACTCATGGTACGACCGCGGAGGCAAATTTGGGTTGGTGGTGTCTCTGGTTGGCTGGTTACGCCCCAATGACGTGGCGAATTTGGACCTCGATGCTGTTCGGGTTGGACCTGGGGATTCTTTTTTGAGGTTGACATTCCTGCCAGAGGCGATTTTTCTGACATCGATTTGCTTATTCGGCCTGGGGAACTGAGGCTTTTGGGTGTTGTTTGGGTGGAAGGTTGCTTTTGCGGTTTGCCTGTGATTGATGTAGACGTCGAGGGTGTTTCAGCCATACTTATCCATTGTAATCATTTCATTCTATTTAATGAGGAGAGCCACGTCATTGGGGTGTGCGAAGATCGATGCATGAGTCGTGGGTTTTGCGAAGAATAACTGGGTCATTAAGGGGGAGGGGTTCATTATTTAGGGGACTTGCTAAGTTGCTATCCGCCTGGGATTTACTCTACTTCTGTTCTCGGTTATCTCCTGGTTTTTGTCTTGGTCGTGATTTCCTTTGTTGTGGGTTTTGATGGATTCGACACTTTTGTGCAACCTGAGAGGGACCAGCCGCGATGTTACTCTTTGTTTGCGTCTGCTTCACATGTGGCTTGCTAAAATGACCTCGGGTTCAAGGATTTTCAACCATTGCTGCTTGCGGGTTGGTCAGACGGTGAGTGACGATTGCATTCTTCGTTGTAGTTGTTGCATTTGGTTGCCTGAGCTTTACAGATGGGTGTTTCGCCCATGTGTTTACCGTTCAGTGTTTTTTGTTTTTCTTTCTGCCAAGAGCTTTATGGGGTAATTGTTTGGGTTGTTGCGGTAGTGTGTTGTGGATCTCGTAACCTTTTTATTCCCACCGTTCAATCCCACCTCCCTTTTCTTTGTGTTTCACATGTATGCACTAATTTTGGGTGCTTTTCGTTGCTTTGATTTAAGCGTTCTTCGTGGTATGTTGTGTTTGCATGTGAAGGGTATGCTGATCCAGTCTCTTTCTGATCCTGAGATGGCTGCTGATACAGAACGCTCTCTTCGTGTTGGCAGCATCTATATCATCAGCCGATTTGGCCTTCAGTCATCAAGGGGTCTCTATCGAGCTTGCTCTTTTGATCTGACTATTAAAGTGACGAGGTCAACTGGGTTTCAGCAATGTACTCTTCCTGTTGCTGGATTACCTGTTGATTCTTTTGAGGTTATGGTGTATCGCCAACTGCACACAAGAAGTGGCAATCATGCTATTCTCACAGGTGCTCTCTTTTAAGCGTGCTTTTTGTCCATTAAGGGTTCTTATGTGGTTGGTTGTGTTTTCATTAATGCCATGTTTTCCCGATGTATGTTTGTGTCTTTGTTTCCTGAAGATGTTATTGGCCGATTGCATTCCATTGGCGGCATCAGTCCTCAAGTTACCGAGTTTGGCCCTACGCCTAAACAAATCTTGGTGCTTGAGAATCATTCGTATGTGTATAATGGTGCTCCTTTCTTTCAACTGTTAAGCTTCTTAATCTATGCTTGAGAAACAATTGTTGTCACGCTTTAGAAAGAGTTAACGGCAGTTCTTGATCGTGCTGCCTTAATTCAGGCAGATTTAATTCAACTTGTTATAATTGCTGTAGGGAGCCTTATGGTCTCTTTGGTGAATGGTATGATGTGTATTTGTGTTCATGTCAAAATTCCTCCTTCACTATGCATTGAGGGCTGTCAGGCTTTTCAGCTTCGTTTATGTTTTCTTTGCTTGGACGTAATTCTATGCTTACAGGTTGACTTCATCACAAAATCAAATTTCTGCCAGGCTTATCATGTGTAACCTTTAGACAAACTTGAAGACCCAAAATATCTAATGAAACAATGTGCACTTTTGAATTCTGGAATTTTACTGGTTAGTTCTTGATGTTCTTCTCATGTTCATCATCCAAAGTTTTACATGGGCACACATTGATCCACCAAAGTGGAAAAGTGGAGATCAGAGCTGTTTATTCACAAAACGACATGGCAATGGTCGTTCCATTTATTTGGATAGAACGTGGGTCGTTCCATTTGACTGGCAGCAGGGGCGGAGCTAGGTGGGTACTCGCCCCCCCCCCCCCCCCACCCCCGAGAATTTTGTAGACGTATATATAAATCGTATAAATTTTGGACAATTACGTATAAACTGAATGTTATGATACGTGAATGAAAAATCCATACACAAAACGCAAGATAGCCTAGCGGAGTTTTTCTTCCTTGTAAAAAGCAGTGGTGTGGGTTCAATTCGTTAAAGAATCAAAATTTTAGCTTCCACTAGGAGAGTCATTCCCAGGTATTAAATTTTTGAAGAACATCCTACGTGCTAAAATGGATTAGCTTCCACTATGAGAGTCATTCTCAGTCCGGTATTAAATTTTTGAAGAACATCCTATGTGCTAAAATGCATTATTAATTTGTTTTTTCTATGTTTCACTGATTAAATAGTCAACTTGGTCCTTTAATTTCATACAAGGTCAGCACTAGGATAGTCATTTCCAGGTATGAAAATTTTGAAGAACATACTACGTACTAAAATGCATTATTAATTTTTTGTTCATAGGATGCTCATTTGTTTCATAATTACATAGTAGAAAATTTAGGTTAAATTATATTTTTAGTGATTTGGATTGTTACGTTTTAATTCTATATTAATTCTATATATTAGTCTTTTTGTGATAGTGCGTGAAATAAATAATTCCCCCCCCCCCCCCCCCCCCCCCCCGAACTTCAATTTCTGGCTCCGCCCCTGATTGGCAGGCTTGCATTCATGTTGGGCTCGGAAATACAAATGGATTATGGACTATTATTTTTAGGGTTTAAAAACAAATAGGACGATTTTTTTCGTTGACCTCACAGTAGGACGATTCTAAGCGTTGTCTTTTAAAAGCAAATATGAGTTAAAAATTAACACTTTTAATTCTTAAATATGTGATCTATCACCAAAATTTAAAAACTTTTATTCTTATAATATATTATCCAATCACGTAACTAAGCATAATCATGCTTATCAGATGAGAACATGCAAACGCTGAAAAAATAAATAAATTAAATTGCCTATTATTAATCGATTTAGAGACAAAATTCAAAGATGTAAAATCATTATAATGATTATACATTAACTAAACAATTGCATGAATTTGCCACAAGTCCCGGCACAAAGCGCGGGCATCGATAAGTAGTAGTAATAGTTGTCACAACCAAAGTTATGCCGCTAATATGTTCTTAACCTATCCCTAAAGTCAAATCTACAAAAGACAACTTGAATTTAATTTGTTTTTGGCTAGAAAATAATGAAAGAAAAATGACAACTTCAAGTTTCATTCCAGTAAATTGTAGTGATCAACAAGGCTCCCGGACTTGCAGGATTTGACAATAATACAGGCACAACCAGAACAACAACAAATGTCAGCAAGAAAAAACTTTTGAGATTTCAGATATTGCAATCAACTCTGAAAGCTTGACATCACATCCATGTACAACCAACCGACAAGCATTCGATTCCAAGGAATCAAGAAAAACATATGAATAGACACCAGGAATGTCTAACGACCATCCTGAATGCTTGAAGTCATAGTATTGGAGACCAAAACGTCGGAGGAGCTGACAGATTGCGGAGTACCGGCCTCATACAGAGGAACGGGCATCTTCCCTGGAAGGTTCGGCAATGGAGCTTCAGAATTCAGAACCTGAATCACTTGCCTTATGGTCGGCCTAGCACTATGGTTTGGGTGAGAACACCACAACCCAACCACCATCAGAGTCTGTATCTGCACGTCATCAACATCCATCTGAAGCCTCTCATCAACGCCCATCATCAAATTCCCATCTCCATATAGCTCCCAAACCCACTCCACCAAGCTCAATCGAGACTTCTTCGAAACCGGATCGACCCCTTTCCTCCCCGTGGCAATCTCCATAGCCACAACCCCGAAGCTGTACACGTCAGATTCCTTGCTAGCTCTTCCGGTGATCACATACTCCGGAGCCAGGTACCCGAGCGTTCCAGCCAGACCGGTCGTCTGCAGACCGAGCTCATGGTCCATCAGCCTGGCTAGCCCGAAATCGCCCAATTTGACATTGAAGCCGGAGTCCAGCATGATGTTGCTCGACTTGATGTCGCGGTGAATCACGCACTGATCGCCTTCCTCGTGGAGGTAGAGCAGCGCGGAGGCTAGACCGAGTGAGATTCGATGCCTGACCGGCCAGCTGAGTGAGGGTTTCCTGCCGAACAGGTGCGAATCGAGGCTGCCGTTGGGCATGAACTCGTAAACCAGCAAGAATTCGCCTCTGTCGTGGCACCAGCCAATGAGCTGTACCAAATTCCGGTGCCGCAACATGCTGATCACTTTGACTTCGGTCATGTACTCCTTTCTCCCCTGCTTCGAGTCTCTGGAGATCTTCTTGACGGCGACTAGAAACCCCGAATAGCTGAGGTAGCCGCGGTAGACCTCTCCGAATCCTCCCTCGCCCAGCTTCCTGTCCTTGGAGAAGTTGCTTGTAGCCGAAGCAAGGTCGCCGTAGGAGAATCTCCGAGGCCCTGCTCCTCTCTCCAGCTCGTGGTTAATCGAAGTCAGGTTCAGCTTCTCCATTTCTTCTCTCCTCTGTTTCATCCTCTGCCTCTTCCTTCTCCACAGATACAACAGACACACGGCGGCTGCCAGAATCAGGATGCCGGCAGTGGGAGTGACTATGGAAGCTATCTTTCTTGTACTGTCACCGCTCGATTCACTGACGTCAAGGCTCGAACTGAGTTCCCACGACTGAAGCACGTTCCTCTCGAGGACGCTGCTTGTAGTCGCGGTGAAACCCACTGTGACGAACGGAGGCAGAATGTCTCTGAGGTCGACGACGAGAGATAGGGTTCTGTTTTCGCGAGAAGAGTTGTTCCCCTGGTAGTCCCACGACACGGTGAGTGTCTTGGTGGTGGAATTGTAAGCGATCCGGACGTCGGCGGTGTCTCCGGCGTGAAGGGTGGCGTTCCAGAAGGTGGAATTCGCGGAGAAGACGGAGTTGTTGTTGATCCCGACGTGCTGGAACGGAGGATCCCACTCCGGGTTGGGGAAAGTGTCGAATTCGACGTGGAGGATCTGGTTCCTGGCGGAGTTGCTGGTGGTGAGATTGTAGAGGCCCAGGAATCCGCCGGCGGAATTGGGAGGGATGTGGAAGTCCGGTGGCGCGAGGAAGAAGGCGAAACCGGCTCCGTAAGTCGATCGGCCTTGTGGGTCTATGTTGAAGGTGAAGTGGGAGGTGAGATCGGCGAGCTTCCCACTGTCCTGAACCCAAATGGGTACCTTTCTGGAGTATGTGGCGTGACCGACTTGACACATGTATGTGTCGCTGTTGAATTCGATGGTTCCTACGTTGGCGTATGCGCCTCCCTCGTAGACCATGGTGGTGTCGATGGGGTCGAATCGCGATTTGCGGAAGTAGAGAGCTGTAGTTGAAGAGGGAAGAACGAGGAGGACGAGGAAGAACAGAGGATGGAGAGCCATGGTTTGTTTTGGAGAGGACTGCAGATGGAGTTGCCGTTTGGAATTTGATTGAAATTTAAAGACAAGGGTGTGAAAGCTTGGGATATGGGGAAAGTACTGAAGTCAAACATCTTGATGCCCAAGTTCCAACTACTGTATTGTTAATTTGTAGGGGACGACTAAAGAGATGGTGATTTTAAGTATAAGATAACTTAGAAAGACGAACTGAATATACATTGTTGAGGAATATGGCCTGCCGAACAGTTCGTCAGAGGTTGAAGTTTAGAGTATAAAATTAAGTAGAAATGAAGAGCTGAAGCAAGGGTTGAGAAAGTGCTGGGCATTTTCTAGCTTCACACCTGCCCTATTGATTAAGAAATCCTTTACTTTCAGGGGGGTTTCAACGCCAGCTTATTGCGTAATCAGATGAGGAATTGCGTTATATGTCTCTGCATAAATGGTCAACCAATAAAACCTAGTATGTTGCAAGGGGAAAAAAACAGAAAATAGAAACATGGTACAAACAAATGAAATGGATTATCTGGCAAGGTTGACTTAAAGTAGAGCAATTTTGTATGCTGAAGTTCGCAGCTCAAGAATGGAGTTAGCGGAGAGGATATACAGCATAAAGGGTATTCAAGTTCTATGTGATGAGGCTGGCATTTCTGGTTGAATATACAATCTCCTTCTGTCAATTATTGGTTCGTTCGCTTCACCTGTCGAGAAGAGAATAGAGTCGCGAACTGACTCTCAAAATAAAGTCTAGAATTATTGATTACTTTGAAAATACTTTTTAGAATACTTAGAGCAGCCCTTAGATAAAAGCTTATGAGCATCACTAAGTAATCGAGCTAATGTGTCCTTATTATTCACTCTTATTATGTCTTCATCGTAAGTCGTCACACCTTCTTCACAACTACAAATTATCATTCCAGCTCTACATATATCTTACAACATCGCAAGAATATTAGTTTTCGTATCATGAGCATAATTATCGATAGATTACCCCGAGCAATATGAACATTACTACTTTGCTCTTCCTCAAACACCTCACCATGATGTAAGCAAGCAGTATAATCGAGAATAAATAATTATCATTTTCTTACATCTTTTTATCTTTTCGAAGCACATATTATTGCAGAAAATAACTGGAAATAAAGACATTGAAGTTTGTAATTGCAAATGTAGTAGCAGAAGGATCAGAGTGATTCGAGTATATTCATACATGTTTTACCCCTTCATATCTGGATTGTTTGACTTAATAATTGTCGTTCATCAACCTATTTTATGCTAGGTCATGCTTCTTTTGTCACATTTCAAGTCCTAGTACATGTGGGAAGATTGGGGATGAGCTTCGGGACATTCGGATGTCAAAACCAACC